TGAGGCAAACCCCATATTTGACACAAAGGCATCCAATCCACCTTTCTTATATACTTCATATTGTTCAAAATTTTCAATTCTTCACCAATGTGGGATATCTCAAACTCAACCACAATTCACCAACACCTCAATACTCAATTCTCATGATGTCACCTCAATACTCTTGGTTCTTCCTTTAATATATATATAGATTTGGGTCAGTAGCTTATATGGGGTTTTTTTAATTATTTTTTTCATTTATAACTCTTATTAATATTAATTATTAATAACCAAAAATAAAAGCTAATTATTATTAACATTAATTAATATTATTTAATTTTTTTAATTAATTTTAATTATACGTTATACATTAATATTAATTATTTAGAATAATTATTAATCATATCAATTATTTTTACATTATTACTTTTTTAATTATTATTTAATATATTTAGTTGTAAAAAAAATATAACCATTCTAATAATAAAAAAGAACATTAAAATCGAGATGTGTCTCGCTGCATTGCACAAGTACTATTCTTTAATGTGTTACTCTAACCTCATAGAAACAGGGGAGAATGATCAATCATATGCTGCATTTCAAACATTTAACAACGAGGCTATAAGTCCTATGAGCTTTGTATTTTAACAAAGACAATGGTAAATTCGTAAATATACAGAGAGTTTCAAATACAAACCATTTAATTGTGACAGAGCGTACAAACCCAATGGTCTAGTTATTGGCCGACTTTCAAACGTAGTAGGAAGTAACATATTGGTGTGTTAGAGGTTGAATGGATCAGAAAATTGCAAGAAAAATGGGAGGTTTACCAAAATCTATTCGTTGCAGGCTGAACTTGCTGAGACAAAGATCCATTTATGATAATAGTTGTTGAATCATTACAATCATTTTAAACTGTCTGTGAAGTAGACACAACCACCGCGCAATGTTTCATCATCAACAATGTTGCGTTTCCATGACTTGTAATAAGCCAACGAATCTTCTTCCTTTTTGTTTTCATCGTCGTACACAACGCTCGCGCCACAAGCCTGATGGTAATATTGATCTAAACCAAAAACCTTGTAGGCACGTTCACTACCAAGATCAACAAGGGCCTGAATAACAACTTCATCACCGTCTTCAAACTCATTGTTCTCAAACACCCAATGGCTTAACCATACTATACTTCTTATATTAGGTTCTGGGATAACACACCTTAGAGGCGTGTATCTCCACTTGTAATTCTTTGTCAAATTCCTTAGTTCAACCCTTGGGTATGGGGCACGCAGGGTGCTTGAAGTTACTCCAGTGACAACGCACAGATTTAGCCCTCGAATCTTACATTTCTTATCGGATGATGGCAAGGTAAAACATAGTTTCGAAGAGGTGGTTATATATGTCAACCAATCTGGGAACCAGCTCCCTTGAAAAAATGTGCTGAATATCCCAGATTCATAAAGCATCTGATAAATACAAGTCTTATTAGATTAAGCAATTAGATAAACAATGAGACAGATGATATATAGATGAAAAGACAACATCTACCTGTACAGGAAGAACTTGAGGTATTTGGTGAAAGCCAGCCCAAGAAATGTAGTTTTTCATCGGCAACTTCTGATCTTTCACATGTTGTTGAACATTCATCCAACCCAATCTACATAATATCTCTTCATCAACTTCTGCTATAGTTTGCATCTTGAATGTGCCTTCAATCTCGGTCAATAACGTTCTGTCTTCATATTCGATATATGGTTGTGTTGACATTTGTGATTGAAATGTTATTTTCTCTAATGACTCACACGTAGACATTATCAAACGTTTTAGTGTGCTTGGAGCACACAAGACGGTTTTTAGACGACGACATCCACCAAGACTAAGAAACTCCAGCCTACTAAGACTTCTTACACAATGGGGGAGGGAATCAATTGGGTTCCCACTTAAATCTAATTCCACCAACATTGATAGGCTACCAAAATCCACATGGAAGGATTCGTTAGACAAATTATTATTTCTAAGCGACAATCTTACTAATGATCTTGGTAACGAGATCGCAAAAGGCTTGAAACTTCTAGGAATAATGACAGATGACGACATTCGGGATTCCATGTTTATATTATCCGCTGTTAACACCTCTAGTGACTTCATATCCTTCATCTCCACTGGAAATTCACCAAGATTTGAACAACCATCTATTAATAGTGTTCTAAGGTTTTTCAACTTTCCTATGCTTCTTGGAAGCTTTTTAAGCTTGGTACATCCACTCACATCAAGGAGAAAAAGTCTAACACAATTCCCAATTGTCTCACACACCTCAACCAAACTCACACATCCTGCGACTATCAATCTTTCGAGTAAAGGGAACCCCTCGAAGTGACCCACGCTCACAAGCTCATGACAATATCTCAAGATAAGAAACTTCAATGACCCAAGCAACTGTTAATTTGGGGAAAAGTTAAAGAAGCATGTCAATTAGTCATACAAGATTGAAATTAATGGAAGAAATTAAATGGTATAAGTTTAAGATGTATAACCTTGGGCTTCTTCCAAAGATGTTGCAGATTGCTATAAGACATGTCTAGAGCAACCATGTTCTCCATTTTCAAATCCAAAGGCACATAACTTAAAGGGAATCCATGCATAGACAACCATCTTAAACCTCCAGGAAAATGCTCATACGACCCTTGGAGTCGTACATAGTGAAGTTGAAGTAGTCTTAGTTTATCCATTGCACAAAATGCGTTTGTTTTAATCTCATGTTTCATGTTACGATTGGAGGAACGCAATAAGAAAACCCAAGCAAATAAGCACCAAATCCATAAGAAAATATCACAAACTCGATGAAGTAGTGGAGATGCTCCAAAGTTCTTGCGGAGATCATATCCAGTCTTTTCGTTGGTAGAACTACTTGTTCCATGTGATGTATGATTCTCAATCATTTTCATGTCAAGGACAAGGCCCTGAATTTTTCCTGTCCCCTAATAAGAAATTGAACAAGTAAACATGGGTAAAGTTATTCATGTATACCACACAATGCAAAATAACTAATATATAAACACATAATGCATATGTATATATTTCATCTATTACCTTTTCTTGCTTCAACACATCATATGATTCTTTATGATGCCATAATCGACTACGCTTCCATGGCTTCTCAATTGATTCTTGACGAACTAAATCTCTCCCCAGCTCTTGAAGCAGTTGGTGCATCATCAACTTATTTCTTGGTCCAACAGTGAGGAGACATCTACCAATGAGCTTGGAGAACCCAAATTTTGTGCTCATACCACACTCCCTTAGTATTGCTTCAGTGAATTCCCTATCTTTTCCAACAAAAAAACAAGCAATGTGCTTGAACAATTCCTTATCATTTTCAGATGGCAAAGAATCAAAGCTTATTTGCAAAACCTGTTGTATTTTAGGATTAGTTTCCTTCTGTAGCAATTCTATGGTATCCTCCCATGCAGCTACATCCTCCTTAAGTAAAGAACTACCCAAAACTGTAAGAGCCAAGGGATTTCCTCCACAATAATTCACAACCTTTGTTGCTTCATTTCTATAGTTTTCCTTGGGATAATTGCCTCCAAACGCATGCCAACTTAAAAGTTGTAGTGATTCCTTTTGGTTTAAGCCTTCAAGCATGTGCTTCTTATGCTTTGGTGCAACTTCTGTTTCAAACAACCTACACTTCTCTGTTAAAGATGCCTCTTTGGTTGTAACTATGATTCTGCTTCCTGGATGAAGGTGTGTTTTTCCAATTAACACATCCAACTGCTCAAAATGATCGATATCATCAAGAACAAGAAGTGTTCTTTTCCTATGAAGTAGTTTCTCAATCTTAGAGGTGCCCACGTTAACATCATGTATGTCCATCCAGGTTATGTCTCGAATGTCTTTAAGGAGTTGTTTTTGTAAATCAAGTAATGCATTTGGTTTCTTACTACTCCTTTGGATATCTTCAAGAAAGCTGCTTCTTTCAAAATCAAGATAGTGCAATTTAAAAATATATTTTGCCAAATATGTCTTCCCGATGCCAGCCATCCCCGAGATTGTGAGAATTCCAGTGCTATGTGAGGACCCGTCTTTCAAAAATGAAGTAACGGTTCTAACTGAAGATTCCATCCCGATTAGGTGAGGAATTTTACTCCGTTTGTGTATCTCTAATCGGTTGCTGATTTCTTTCACAATTTCTTCAATAAGTATCGTCTCTCGCCTGAAAGCAATTCGACGAGAACAAAAGATATCATCCATGCAATTTAATTAGATGAATAAAAACGACAGAGTTCATGAACTTTTCTAGAAATGAATCAACCATATCCTTTCAAATCTTGGGTGTCCATACTCTTAATTTAGTGCCACCAATTTAACAAAATATATAAAAGCATGTGCATGCAATGCACCATAACCTTTTCTAGAAATGAATTACTAAACTATGAAATGCATTTAGACACATTTATAGCATAGTGCTGCTAAATGAAAGCAGCTTCTCAGGCTGTTTTTTTTTTCTTTCTAAATATTAATGAAAAGTAGAATATTCTACCCACCTAGTCTTCGTTGTAGGGATGAGTTAGAGTTAGAGTGTCACATCAGTTAAAACTGGATGAGACATGACGAGAAGTGACAGATGGAACGGGCCTGTAGGAGACAAACCTAGATGGGATAAGACCGGGTAGGATTGAATATGACAGAATTAGACAAGTTGTCCCTAAAAGTTATTTGATGATTTTATATATCATATAATAGTTATAAACGACATAAATAAAATAAATATTTAAATAATTTAACTTATAAACGTGTTTACACAAATTTTCATTTACATAATTATATATATATATATATATATATATCAAATTTGAATGAATATTATGATATATATAATTGATAGTAATTCAAAAAAACTCGATTAAAAAAACTATCTTTTATTTGTTTTGTAAGATCCTTATCAAGATTGTTGCAACAATGGACGCCGGTGGTTGTGGAGGACGTGGAGATGGTAGATAATGGTGTAGGACGTAGTTGTGGCCAACATGGTGGAGGTTGTGATGGTTCGGACAATGGTTTTATGTAGTGTAGAATGAAGTGGAGGTAGCTGATGGTGGTAGTGGTCGATGGCAGAGCGGGCGTTATGGAGGTGGCCGACAGTGGCTACCGATAGTGGAGGCGGATACAAGTAGCAGTGGTGACCATTAAAACAAATGTCAAATTAAGGTTATATATATCAAACAACGATAAATTAGTAATATTTTATCTTCTATATCTTATTCCACCTACCATAGGGGGTAAGATCCTACAATTGATACTTGGCTTAACAAAATACATTAGAAATTTGTGCTAGCTTTTCTTTGTGTGCATGACTTCTTTGGCTTTTTTTTATTAACCTGGATATCCAACCAGCTATACGAGCCGACTAATTACAGGACGACCATCTGCTTTGTTAGTCACCGCATTTGAACCTCCATGGTCATAAGAAGATTTTTATTACTCCTTGGATTTGAACATGAGACCTTTTGATACTTTTGATAATTACAAGTGTAAATAATAGAAAATGGATCTAATAAAAAGGGTTTTTACCTGCCATTTGCTTCCTCCCCTTTCATGTTAGCAACTTCTGTAAGTGCTTCCTCCCATAGCTTCATCTTTTGTGCCCATTGATTTTTCTTCTTTTCATTTGGCTCTGTCTCCATCTTTTGTTTATGCTTCGTCATTGCATCTCCGAAACTGCTTTGTTGCTTCCTAACATCAGCAGGCTTGACGTGATAGAAGATGGGGATTACGATATGTTTGGAGGTCCTACGTTGCTCCAGGATCAATACCAGTTCGTCAAGACACCATGTGGAAGAAGCATAATCCTTGGACAACACGATGATAGAAGCCCTTGATGCTTTAATTGCACTCTCCAGTTCCGGTTTTAGATCTTCACCGGTTTGGATCTCAACATCATCAAAAAAGGTGTTGATAGCAGCATCCAACAAGGCCTTGTGGAGGTGATCTGTGAAGTTACAACGAGTGTTGATGCCTCTAAAACTTAAAAACACGTCGTAGTGATAATTAATCGATACAGAAGATGAACATGTTTCTACAATTTCAGAAAGAACAACCATCATAAAATAATACGGTTCATGAACTAAGGGTTTAATCTATATGATATACACCGTGCTAAAAAACTTTATTGTATATTCAATATATATAACCCCACGCTTTTAGACTAGTCATGTCAGTGGTTGGAACCATGTGACCATTGATTTTTCTTGACGTGATGGACAAAATCAATTATGATTCTTAAATGTTACATTTTTTTGATTAAGTACAAATGTATTTGTTCAATATAATGAGATCTATTTTGGTCTTAATGTATGTCTTAGGGGTTGTTTGTTTATTTTTTAATAGTTTCATTAAGAGGCGGTATCTGAATCGTTAAGAGATGAATCTTGTTTGGTAAAAAAAAAATGTCTCTTAATAATGGTTTTAAAATCATCTGAATGATTTTGTATCATGCGCATCCCTTAACTATTAAGCGTCCTAATTTCATTGTAAACAATTAACAAACAATTATATTTCATTTTACACTATACCATGAGAGCCTCTTAATCATTATGACAACTTAATCATTCTGTATCAAACCATTCAGCAACTGTCAAACAGCCTCTTATTTTTTTTGTCTTTGTCGAGTTTATAATATAGTTTGTATGGTATTGAGAAAACAGTAATGTTTTCAATTGTTTATCTAATTTTGAGAGTATTTTGATGTTTATTATTTTTGTTTTTGTATATCTTGTTTACTTCAATTTTTTTTAATTGTAATTCAATTTATTTAGATTTAAGGATGAAAAATAAATTTTTTTAGTTTTAGTAATATAATGTTTTTATAAAGATAATAATCAAATATTTCGAGTTTATTGATTATCTTAATTATATTTTAGATTTAAAATAAAGTGTTTATCCTGTTTTTGATTATGTTTATCAATAAGTTTTATTAATTCAAACATTCAGCTTAAAGAGTTGCATTCATGCATAATTTATTTGTAATCTTGAATTTTAAGTAATATGTATTTATTAACGATATTTAATCCATAGGAATAGTTTTTAAAAATTATCTCAAATATTTTATAATATAGTATAGATATTTGCTATCGTATTGTATTTTATAATTATAGTTATATATTATTTTATTATTTTTGCTTACGACGAACAGGGGAAAAAACTGTGTGGATCCCTTTAGTATATGTACATAGAACATCCATTGGTCGAGGTTTTTCGTAAAGATTTTCACACCTTTTATTCAATTCAATGACATAAAAACTTATATATATATTTATTATGTAAAAACTCTCATGATTTTAATTTTATATCATATGTATTTTTATTTATAAAAATCAACATATTAAAAATCTATACGGATACATATT